CTGCCTGATAGCAGAGGGTACCAAGCAATTAGAGATGAGCTTGAGCTCGATCTCGGAAGTTCGAGCCAGTCCGAGGTATTTGCATAGGATTACTTAGAGCCAGAGTCCGCCCGAACCCCAGATAAACGTTGGATATGGGCCAAATTTTGCGATCACATCATTCGGCCTTTGATGTCTAAACAAGAAAGTTAGTAAATTAAAATCTTTTCTACCAACAATCTGTGGAAGAAAACTTAAACAACTGAAACTCCAAGAGGACTAAAACAAAAATTGAAAAATAAAATTAAAATATTAAGATAAATAAACTGTCAGGCCAGGGGTCGGGCTGAGCCCGTCTCTAAAAGCAATGCGAATTCGTCGGCAGAAAGCCCAGAATAAAAAGGTGTTTTGACACCATAAAGAAACAATATACTCGAGTGCTATTTACCCGTGTATAGTACTATCACCAATGAGATTAGTTTTGAAAGCAAGCAAGTTTGTAAAATCAATTTTAAATATTTCAAGCTATTTCCAAAAAGACAATGAAAAATCAAAAAGTTTCTGGAAAGCTGAAATTTAATATCGCGGAACAACTTGTAACCTAATGAAGAATACTTTTAACTATCTATCTAGCTTGTAAATATTTTTTCAGAAATTCTAAGGATTTTAAGACTTAAGTCCACGGCAAAACGCTTTTTTTAAAAAAAATCTTTCGCGAACACCAAAGCAGATGTAAAGTTAAGCAGATATGAAGACTTAAAGTTAAGTCTTCATATGTTTTTTTTAATTTCCTGAAATACTACTTCGGCGTGCAAAATACATATTGATCTTTTAAAGGATACATAGTAGAATCTTAACCATTAAAAAAATATTCTTGGAAGTGGAATATTATTTTGTAGCCAGTTTTATAGATATTCCATCTTACAAAAAGATATATGATACTAAGTTATTGAAACCTGTGTTAAGTTTTAGTAATCAAATTTATATAATTTTCTATAATTTTTTCTAATTTTGAGAAATCTTTGTCTTCAACATTATACATATGGCATAGAATATAGTAAATATTTGCTAACTTTTCAGAATGAGGAATGTTTTTATATTTTCCGTTTGAAAAAATATTAATAACTTCTGATATTTTCCAAAATCGATTATTATCCTATAAGTTACATCCTAATTATGCTTTCTATTATAATTTACAGATAAAATTGTAAAAATAAATTTTAATAAACAAACAAATTTTACATCCTTTATCAATAATATAAACATTATATAAAAAAAACAATTGAATACTTGAATAAATTTTATAATAGGATGAATAAACATGACATACACAACAAGATTACTAACAATGCAATAACAAACTTAGTATTAGTTCTGAAATTTAAAAAAAAAAAAACGAAAATTGTTAAATGATTTAAATTGAAAGGAAACCCTAGATAAGCATTCTTCACAAAAAATTATTCTTTTGAAAAGAGTGCACACATATTAGAATAACATAAAAAGAATATAAAAAGTACTCTAAACTTTTTATTTAAAAATAAATTAAATCTACTGAAGAAATAGAATTTTAAAAACATGGCTGTTAAATGTATAATATTTGGTTGATTGGTTGGTTAAAGCCAAATAGTTATTTTTAAAAAAAACCCATCTTTTTCTAGAAAAAAATTGTTTTTTTTTTAATAATTTGATTTTCTATTATTTATGTAAATAATAGAAAAAAGTTTAAATGCAACTAAATGAAAAATTAGTAATTTTGAAAAATCTCATCAATTTTATGTTCAATAACAAATGAGAGTCTTTGTTACTTTAAATAAACATTAATATGCAGGTTTTAAAAGTTTATGCATCATTGCGTTTCTCCAAAAATATATCAATCAATTTAAAGAGAGCAAATTTAACAGATCACTACAATTTTTTTCCGATAGTTTTAAAAATTAAATAAAAAGTTTTTTCTTTTTTAAAAAAAAAATCTTCTTAATTAACGCATTATGTTTACAGGAATTAAAAACATAAAGGGGAATGAAATGGCATTCTCAATTTTAATTTCTCGCTTTATTTATAGAATTTATTTCCTTTGTGATTGTAAACAAATTTTTACACATTGTTTTTATTTAGAATTCTGATATTTGCAACATACAATGTTTACATAAAAAACAACATTCGAAAATCATTTATAATAGTATAGCTTAAAGCTTCATTGTGTTATTCCAAAAGACAAGAAAAGTAATTTATTCCTTATATATTATTAAAATATTAAAAACAAACCTTTATTTCATTATTTTTATGTACAGTGCCCACAATTTAAAAACGGACCACCCCGAATAACTTTTGATCTAATGACCGGATCTTACCCTTCTAGGATACAAACTTAATGGTTCGAAGGAGTAATCTCAAATATGCTAACTAATAAGTGTTAATAATAAAACTTTTTGCAAGGAATTATAAAATCAAAAATCAATAACCCAAAAATAATTTCACGCAAAAACTTTCAGTAAATATTTATTATCTTATTTAATAGTAGTCAAAAATATTTTGAATTGTAAGGTATACGAATTTTTACATATATTTTAAAGAATGGAATGGAATTTAAATAGCGAATCAGAAAATTTGAGCGGAATCGGCTGAATAGTTACTAAGAAATCGAATTTTAAAAATACAACCTCTTCAAAGTTTGTTTTCTCAAGAACATTTCGACCGATTTCTCTCATATTTTATATTTTGTTATTTAAAATTGCATTCTTTAAAATTAAGCAAGTATATATGAATTGCAATTCTAAATTGTTTCGACTATTATGAAATAAATTAATAAATATTTAATAAAACTTATATTTTGTAGAGATAAACGAATTATTTGGCTAAAAGAATTTTATAATTGTGTGCAATCTTTTTAAAATTCTTTCAATAGATTCTTGAGATACGGGGAAAAAACACAAGAAGTAAAATTAACAATAAGGGATCCAAGCTTTGGACCATAATGCCAAAACTGCGGCTACCCCATATAGCGCGCGACATAAATCAAAATCCGTCAAAAACACGATATGTTTATTCAGAGAAAGTGTGTTTTTGTTTCTGATTTTGTTACTTAAAATATTACTTAATTAGCATTTTCAAAGTCCCCCTTGAACTATTAGGATTGCATTAAGATAACTATTACAGATTGAGTTCTAAAACGTGAAGATCCGATCATTAGATCAAAAGTTATTCAGGATGATCCGTTTTTTTTTTTTTTAATTTTTTGCACTGTACACATATATGCCGACAATTTTATGTTTTAAATCCTTTTCATCACTCTACAACTTTTATATATTTCTTAATTGAAAATTATCTTGTGTGCCACGTTCTCCTTAAAATCTAAATTAATTCAATTTAAGGAAAATAAATGTCATATTTTTAAAGTAAATAGATACTAATGTTATATATTGCATACAGCTAAAACAATAACAGAAATAATGCTGAAGTAAGACATTTTCCTATATACTAACTTACACTTTTTCATGCATTACTAATAAAACAATTCAAATTAAATTTTGATTTGCATATTAAGTTGAGTTGTAAAGTAATACATAAGCATAATCAAAAGTTTTTCTCTTATTATTTTTTTAACAGATTAGCAAATTTTTTTAATAAAATTGATATTTTATTGTTTATTGAAATAATTAATGACTGAAAAAGTTCTCATGAAATATTTTTTATTCTTTGATTACACTAAATTTAGAACACATAATATTATGTTACGCTTTCTTTTAAATAAACAAAAAATTCGGTTTCAACCAAAAAAAAAAAAAAAAAAATGTTTCCTTGACAGAAAAAAAAACTTTTTTTCTAACCCTGTTAAAAAAGAATAGAAATACATATTATAAATTTTTAATTTGACCAAAAATTACACTTCAATTTATAGTGTTTTTTTTTTAAATTATAAAATTCCTTTGTTTCTCCAAATTTACTGAATGTGATTAAAAATCCTTTTACATTAAGTATATTAAAATATTTAAGCAAATTTTGCTTGGATAAATAAAAAAAATTTCAATTTTAGAGTCTGTTTATTTTTTACACTTATTTTTTAAGTTTTTTAATACAAAGTTTTATAAAGTTGTCAAGCAGTTATTTTTATCGAAAAGGTTGAAAAGAATGAACCTGAATAAAAAATTGGAGTTACCTGCTTTGTTGCACATGTCTTTATCTAATCAATTAACATAATTGGAACATAGCTCCTTACAAACGTTAAGATAGCTCTTGAAAGAATGAAAATAGGATAAAATCATTAAAAGTTAGTCAGGGAGATTCATATTTTATTTTGATGAGTGTGCATCGATAAAAAAATTATAACCAAACAAATGTTAAAAAGACAAAATATTTTATTTGCTTCGCAAAAACTGCAATAAATTTTGAACAAGTATTGCCAAACATATTAGTTTTAATAACAAATAAGTAATAGAAACAAGTTGGAAAGCTCAAACAATATTTACTTTTTTGTGACAATTTATTCAGAAAGAATTCCATTATTAACACAAAAATTATAAAATTGCTCGAAACTTGGATAAATAATTTCTATAAAAAAATTAATAACTTAGCTGTACAAACAAAAATAAATGGGTAACTAGTATATTTAACATAAACTAGTATATTTAACAAAAATAACTTTATTAATTATAGTACCAACAAGTTAAACAATGTCAAAATATAACAAATAAAAAATTAAAAAATATATTTCAAGTTTTATTACATATAATAAAAAAAAACTAGAGATTTGTACACGAATAAAAAAAAATTCTGTCAGATGTTTTCAACATTAAACACAATAACAATTATATATATATATATATATATACACTTANCTATATATGAACACTAAACACACTTTAATTACATAAAAACACATTTGAGCGAAATGACTAAAATTCAGAGCCACAGAAATGTTTTCCATTTCTTTAAAAAAATCTACTAGTAATTCTTATAAACAGTTCCGACTTAGTCAAGTATTGCACTCACAATATTTGTATGAAGCCTTCTTGTCCATTTTCTCAGCGTTTCCAATAAAGTGAAATTTTTATTACCGTGGTTTCTTCGAGTTCATAATATCCAAGTTCATAATATCCAAGCTGAAAGTAAAAGGTTTATGATTTTAAATCAGGTATTTCATCTCCATTTTAATTTTGCATCTAATATTTTATGCTAGTTATGACAATCAGTTTTGCGCTATTCCCCCCTGTATGTCTCTTTATATTGAGGGGATTTAATTATGAGACTATGTCAACCTTCATCTATCAAAAAGTACCTCAGATTGTACATACTAGTGATACTTATATACTAGTGATTCGGTACTTTTAATATTTATAGTGGTAGTTAAGCCACATTATATCGTTGTTTCGTTATGACACTTGCATATTTTAACCAAAGTAATTGCTACAAGTTACACATTTATTGCCAAATTTTTTGGCATAGGGCGTTCAAGAACAGTATTTTCCGTTTGTAATTTATTGTCAGTCCTCCAAACCTCTGCACTTCATTGATAAGTATGAGAAATCACATGATCCAAACATTTCGGAAGTCATAAAATGATTTTAAGTGTTTCTTGAGCAATATGAAAAAATTTAATTGTATAGAAGTGTTTTCATTGTTTTGTCCACCCGATGCACGGTCCGTATACAATATAGTATGTATATAAAGTCAAGGCTAATTCGTGAGGGTTGCATATTATTTGTACTTCAGAGTGATAAGTCACTAATTTGTGAAAGTTGAAAAATATATAGCATCTATTTATTCGTGAATAATATTTATATGGGCCTTTTTCCATCATAAACGGTTATGTTCGAAAATAACATAAATTATTTTAACAGGTTGAAAGAGAGAGTAAAATTTACTTGCATTTTGTTTAAGGAAAAAAAAAGACAAAATGGTGACGCAGTTTTTTTTAAAAAATCTAGCTTTAAAATTTAAAAATGGAGGAAGTAGTAGTAAAACTAATAGAGGTATAACACATCAAACAAAAGGTCGCTCAATTCGAATACTGCTATTTCAAGACATGATCGCCAAATCTTAGTTAGTTCAGTATTTCTGACGGATGTCATTTTTATAATTAAGATAAATACCAATCAAGATGTTTAACTGTGCAGTTCCAGCAAAAAAGAGCTAGAAAAATAAACTGGTTTAAAAGTGGGAATTCAAGTAAAATATTCCATTTAGAGAATTTATCTACCCTAATATGCCACAGACAGTACTATATATTTTCTTGCATATATATTTGTACATCTGACCTACTTTGATACCATGTTTGAGGGTGAGTAATAATGGGAATAAAATCACATTTTTCAGCAAAAATATATAGGGTTTAAGGCGAGGTAGGGGACATTACAAGGATTCAGATTTGCACAGCAACCTATGATCGGAAACGACTTCGTTCGCCGCTAGATGGTGTTGCAGATTGGGCATGGTGGACCGGTTCACCAACCCCCAAGCTCACCTGATTTGAGCTGCGAGGATTTTCTTAAGGGTGAACTGAAAAGTACTGTGTACGCAAAGCCTGTGAATTCCAAAACGGATCAGGTTGCACGGATCATCTGTGATGCCGCGGATATCCAATAAAATCCAGGTGTATTTGAGCGAGTCCGCCAATCCACAGACCGTATTGTTGGCATCGTTGGCAATGGTGGAAACTTTAAAACATCTTTTGTGACATTTTAACATACCATCTACCACAGCAATCTTTGACCAATAAATATTCGGATGCATCTCAATCTTGTATCCCTTTGTTTCTTGTATATGTCATACTACTTTCCCACGTCGTTTTCGACCATGGATTGCTATGCAAGTCTGAATCCTTGTGGTGTCCCTTATCTTATCCTTAACGTTTGTCCTAATAATCCCGGGATACCTGTACCGGGACATTCCCCAATGGAAAGAAAAAAAAACTAGATGCATTAGTTATCTTTAAGCTTTGTTCGTTTTACCAATGTTTGTGTCAATGCACTTATTTTACCAAAGTACTTTGTACTAGGAATAAAACTTGGACAACCCCTTTCGTCTTCGTTTTAGCGTGGTTCCCCTTTTCTGTACGCATGCTCTTATCAGATTTAAACTAAATAAACTAATTTATTACAATAAGTAATTTTTTCTGTTTAACTAAATTAAATAATTTCTTTTAATAAACTTATTTTACAAAATTCAAACCGCTTTCCAGATAGTTACAGCTCTCAAATTTTAAGAGCTCTAAACTAGATGACTATCTCAGTTTCAATCCATCTCTGGTACCATAATTCATTGCATTTTCACAGCCAAATAGAATTAATCTTCAATTAAAATTCCGAATATTTTACGAATAACTAAAGAACTCAAATTTTAATTGGAGTTCTAGGATGAAATGCAATGCAAATTTTCAATATCTGACCGCTACAAGCACTCGCCTCGGGCGATACCGAAAACGGCACCCTTTATTCAATTTTAATTCCCCCCCCCCCTTTAAAAAAAAATTTGGCTTTGTAAATATTATTGTGCATTTACAAATTCATTCATTCATCTGATAATTCGTTAAAATACTCTTCATTGATTCATCCATAAAGAAACTCATTGCTACTTATTGCTGACTTGTATTCATTCACCTTTTTATTGATTCATTGATTGTTATCCTTTCATTTCTCATTTTTACTTTATTCACTCGCTGTATCTAAAACCTTTCATGATGACATGTTTCAAGATGAAGCGACAAGCGCACTGGTAATAAAATATGCATTAAATATACTATCTTCAAAATAACCGTTTAAAATAAATGAAAAAAGATGTCATATGAAACACATTAATGAAATAACGGACAGTCGTTATAGCTATATCAAAAGATTAAATGATTATTCCCATCAAATAACTTTTGGGAAAGATTAGATATTCTCTAATCAGACTAATATTGGTATATAAAACTATGTATAAAAATAAATAAAATCCTACTTGCAACGTAAAATACAATAGTAATAAACGTTTAGATAAATCACATGAATGAAGAAGTTATCGAGCCTGCTAATAGCAAATATTTTTAGAGAAAAAAAAGTCTTACTTTATTTTCCCAGAAAAATCTTTTATTAATCTTTTTATGTTAGTTCTTTGCTTTAAAACAACTTCTAATTAATTATTCTAAGATTTAATCTATTTTTGGCTCAAGTATGCATAATTATAAGTAAAGACATTTCCCCTTTTTCTCCTTGTGGGAATCGTACGACCTTTTTCAAGAAGCAATAGCAATTTCTAAGATTTCCCTCTTTTCCCTAAATAGAGACAATTTCGGATTTTTTGCAAGATTTTCCCTACCAGAAAGACTGATCGTCGTTAGAGTAAACACTTCAATTTTCGCTCGTCATTCATTTGAAGATGATCAAATAAATTATTGTGCTTTCATTAAAATCCTGTGTCTGTTTTCCTGCTCGGCCCGACTGCATCATTTTACATATATATATATATATGTTTCTTAAGTGGCTGGGTGGCGCAGTTGGTTTGTCGTCGGCCTTCAGAGCCCAAGTCTGCGGGTTTGATTCCCTGCCCAGACACCGGATTTTCGAGATGCAGAAAATCCTCAGCGGCCATGTCGTTAGTGCCTTATTGGCTCTTGGCATTTCCGTCAAAATTAAATTCCTAGTGCACTTTAGCATCCAAATAGAGTCTCGGTGCTGCCATCTAGTGTAGCAGAAACTAGACGTCCAAATTAACATGACCAACGGTATCGCAACCATTGTGGTGGTCCTGAAAGAGTAGATACTACCTCTGGAGAACGCACAAGGTCTGCTCATCGGCAAGACCGATTGTGCAGCTCATTGGAAATAAAAAAAAAATGTTTCTTGTTGTCAACTTAAAATTTACAAAGATCTTGGTAATTATCTTAGAAATTAACCTTGAGGTCTTGTTTCTGAAAAAACCCAATTTTTCAACAAAAAAAAACCCACCGAAATTCGGATGAAAAATTAAATTTTGAGACGAAATATAAGTTTTTTCTACATAAAATATCAAGATTTGTATCAGCAAATTCAAATTGTATTAAGAATACGTTTGACACAAGGCTCAATTGATACAAAATTTAATTCTCCAAGGTCACTCATCTCCCTGTTTTTCTATTGCATTCATCTTTTAAGAATATTGACTTGTTTGTTGGATGGTTTCTGAATCATAAATTTATACAGAAAAGATATCCTTGGAAAATACGAAACTCATTCTATTCAATGTCAAACAAATGGTTTTTCTGCACGCTACTCTTCTTTCCATATTTAGTAAAACTTTTACTTAGAGAACTTTATCCATAATAAAAAGTTAACCTAAGAATATATAATTAATAAAAGATAACAAAATAATATATTTTAAAGCAAACAATTCTTTAAAAAAGGAGGAAATAAATTTACTGAACATTAAATCTGGGTCCCGTTCGACGTCCCATTTGAGTGATGCTCCGGGCGACAGCCCGTCTTGCCCACCTCTTTCGCCGCCTACAAGTAGAATTAATTATCGCGAAAGGGAGCTCAACGGAATTTTAACAATAAAAATACAGAAAACTTTTCGACAATCTAGAATTATTAAATCTCAACTGAAGCTTTCTGTGGTTTAAAAAGGAATATAATATGCAGGAAAACTTCGACTGCCAAAAGTTTCAATCTCCTTCTGACATCTACAAGCAAAATTATTTCCCAAATAAAATTTATAGTGAATGTAAATTTCATCCACTCTTTTACGGAAAGTTTTAGCTGCAGCTTTGAGTCTGATGATAATACAATACAATTTTTAAAATGTTGTCAGCAAAAGTTCCGACGTAATTTTCCAAATAATTTCCGACGTTAACACATTTTAAAATACAAAATTAAAAAGAAGATAAAAAGTTAAATAAAAACTTTTAAAACAACGTTTTTTAAGTAAACTTAAATGGAGAAAGCAATTCTATTTTTGACACATATATAACAAAAAATGTAGAGTGGATCACTTTCATAGTAAACTTAAATCGTTAATAAAAATTCCCTTCTCCTCTTTTGAAAATGATGCAGCCAACGTTTCACGTTTTATGAGCAAAAAAAAAAAAAAAAAAATGGAATTTTCTCCTTCTAAGTCTACTTGAAGAACATATTTTATTTTTAAGTTTTTTATTATTATTTTTTCACTATCCTAATTTAACTTAACCACAATAATCAGACAATTGTATGCAGACAACTGTTTCGCCCTTCTATTAAAAAGATACTTCAACTTTTTCGAACAACTGTAGTGTTAAAAAGTAAATCAGATTTTACTGCAATTGGATAAAAATAAATTTTACGGTCATAACAGTAGCAGTGAATACAGTAAAAATAAACTTACGGTTTCACTTTATATTTTCAAACATGCTTTCCTGAAAAGTTGGACACAGAGAAGATCTTGACTGATTATCCAAATCAGCGACATATTCATTTTGTGCGTGATTCAATGTTGATTGTGAATTCATGCTGGGATGGAGATGATTCAATCCTTTTCTTGACACTTTGTAAACTCTACCATCATTACGGATAGCTACATTTGTTTGAAATTGGCTGTAAATGTGATCGTTAATCTTCTGTTTGGTGGAGGTGCTAGGGATTTTATCTTCCTTCATCTGCCAATCATGAGTTTGAAAATAGTCAGCATTAAATGTCCTCATTCCATTAGCTCCCACAGAATTATCATTATCAGATGTAAAATATGATTCACGTGAACAATTATTAAATTTCTCGGGTGAATGTGCGTTATTACTGATATGTATATCTGAGCTAGTTTGCGTGACTAACCCAAGTCCGCCAGTACAATTAGTATCATTTAAAACAATGTCACAATTCATTTCTGTACCAGAAACAGAGCTTGCAGTTTCCGTTTGAAACTGATTATTATGGTTTGCCTTCGTGAAAGGCATGGCATTTTCATAGAAATCACTCAAATCACTAAGCAGCGCCATGTTTTCAACAGTATTGTCAAGAAAACTTAAATCGATGTTTGCTTGGGAGTTATTATCAGGAATCGATTTGATGGCAGCATTTACCATTCTCATGTTCAACGCTGATTGGCTATCACCAGCAAAGGTAATTTTTGGATTGAAAGTGGAGAAGTGATTTTGACTAACGTAACTATTTACATTTCCGTGGCCGTTTTCAAAGCGTGCAAAAGTTCCATCAGGAATATTCAAAGACTCGGAGTTGATGGTCGCATAATTCTGAAGTACATCTTGGGGTATCAAAAAGTCGTCTGCAACCATTTCAATATTGTCGGACACATTGAACGAGCCAACGTTCTCCTGGAGTTGGTTCTGCGTGCAATTAACTTCGGAACTAGTACACTTTTGAGATTGGAAAAAAGGTTTTTCAGTATCATAACAAGTATAATCATCGGGAGTCAAAAGTAAGTCTGATGTAAGAAAGTTAGAATTTACAATGACAGGAAAATCATCATTCTCCTGGATTACAGGTTCAGCATAAGCATCAGTCGAGGATGACATAGATTGTACGGGACTCATGAGATCAAAGCTCGAAAGCGTGTTATTACGTTGTACATTACAGCTCAATGCTTCTGGTGACACAGCTTTATTGTAGTTCATTATTTGAAATGCCTGACTATCACAACTAAATGTATTAGCCATGAGAGAATTATCAGCAGAGCTAAGGGAGCAAATTTCAGAGCTTGAAGATAACGAGTGATTTCGTTCTTCATTGTAGTTAACTTTGCTCAAGTCTAAATAAACACTACTATTTTTTGTATTATCAGTTGTGTTTGGTTCCTCCATGTCCATAGGTACATCAGAGAAAGAACCATTGGTTACTTGGGGGCAGCTTTTTTGTTTGATGTTTTCATGCTCAACTGGAGTATTTCTGGTAGCGCCGCTGTCAACATTAGCTGTGATTATTGATTTAGTCGGTGATTTAATTTCTTGAAGTGTAATTTTTGATTCTTTGAGTTGCGGGGCATATCTATCTTGAAATTTCTTAAGTTCTCGATTACCATCTTCATCACTATAAACAGAAAAAAAAATTGTCATACGAATCAAAAGTTCAATAATAATCAAGAACTAATTACTTCACTTGAAGTCAGAAAGTTCTGTAAATACCGGACTTATACATATTTTTAGAAAATAAAAAACAAAGTTATTATAAACTAAATATACAAGCTATTATTAAACGCACTACTCGTTTAATAATAGCTGGAAAACTATTATTAAACGAGAAACGTTTTCAAAATATGATCAACTATTATCGAGGTCAATGACAGAAACAGTGAAATCAAAAATCTTTAAAAGCAATTTAACTGATAATTTGAACTTTGCCTTATGATAATCTCCATAATAATTCGTCAGATTTTGAAAAAAAAAAGATCTGACTAAAATTGTTAAATTCCAATAATTTCATAGTTAACACTGAAAATATATTATAACATAATAAAATATATCTCCCAGAATATAAAATAGTCTAACAAGTCGCATGACTTTGTGCACATCCTGAAAAGTTCTATAGTCTTAACAAGCAGTCCGAACCAGCACCAAACTTTAAGGAAAGAAACATAATACCGAAATCATGTGGGGAAAATATACATCAACTATTTGTTTTTGCAACGATTAAGTGACTTGCCCTTTAAAGTTAAGTTAAAGTAGGGTTTACAACTTGTTACGCTTCAGTGTCATGTTTCTCAACCTATGTGCCGAGAGTGAATGTGAAGACATTTTCATAAATGAGCATAGTAATGAATTTTTAAAATAAATATACAACATTTAACGATTCATCGATTGAAAAACGGTTATAATCTTAACTGAAATGCTAAAAATAATATGCCCAATCTTAAAAGAACAAAAAATAATTATTAATATCTGATTATAGTCATTATTTAATACATATTATATACAGATATAAACTCGACCCACGCCCTTCCTCTAAGGCTGAAGAGACTCTCAGGGAAAGGAGTTCGACTTTGATGTAATGAAGGTTAAGGTTCATACAATTTCGTGACCAATGTTATGGTGGTGACTATGGGGTCAACATTGCCCACTGACAGTACAGACAAGCTAGTATGAATCGATTTGAAGCAGGGTAGACTTCAAGTTTTCACCAGGACTCGAACCCCCGACGACAACTCAGTACCTTAACCACAAAGCCAGCGGTGTCATTAAATTGGTTTTCAAAATTGTAGATACGTCTAATTTCATTTTTTACATGTATTTTTCGAGTCACCACCATTTTGAATAATTTTTATTTCATTTTGTGATTACAGCGCATATACAAGACAGTATAGATAATATAGAAAATGCTATTACAGTATGTTATAAAATTATAAGACCACCCTAAATATATCACTTATTTTTATGGTACACTGCATAAAATGAATAATTTTAAAATAATTAAGCAATTGAAATCAGTTATAGTTTCTCAAATAAATCAAAAAGTGAAAAGAAAAATTTAGTTTCACACAGCAAACGAATTTTTAAAATTTCGGTGTTACATAATTATAAGACTGCTTTTTTTTTTTCAAAATCGTTTGAGTTTTCAATTTTTTTTTTTTTTTTTTTTGGAAATCCTATGTAAACTGTAACTTTTGCATCACAGAAAACGCAAACGATATTATATTATAAAGAAAAAGAGATTTTAATTCATTTGTTTTCCTAAGAAAATTCACAATGCCAAGCGGAAAAGAATTATCTGAGTTAGAAATTCGAAACATTTCGCTTTTTAAAGGTTCTGGAAAGTCGAAAAGTGAAATATATAAGTTAATAAAACGTTCTAAAACCACTGTTCAATTATGTTTATTAGGCAAAAAAGAATGTTATGAAAAAGATAAAAGATCCGGTAGGAGGCGCAAATTATCAGCTCGGGATAATAAGAAACATTTTCAAACTTTCAACGAAACTGAACATGTCTACTCGCTCGTAAAATTTCATAGTAGGAAAGTAGAACGATCTTCCATTCAGCCTAGAGCACTTTGAAATCAAATTCGAATGTTGTTCTTTGAAAATTTAAAAGAAAGCCAACACTATTAAAGCATTATAAAGAACAGAGGCTTAAATGAGCAAAGGAGGTCATGACGACCTGTGATGCTGTTTGAAAAAATATTTTTTCCGACAAAATATTTATATTTAAATGTTTATTGAAAATTAAAGCAGATATTTTGTTTTTCATTCAATTTCATTTAATTTAAATTAATTTCGGAAATTTATATCACTTTTAATACAAGTTACAAAAGCCGCAGTGGTCTTATAATTTTGCTACACAGTGTATAGATATTTGGTATTCGATTCCTTAAAAAATTTACAAATGAGCTGTTGCTTTATTGGAACATTATGAATCATAGTTACGAAAAAATATTACCTTAACAAAATGTTGCAACAGATAAATTGGCGAACTTCCTTTGTTGAGTCTTTATATCTAATCTGGCCCTTGGTTTGCAGATATATGTAACTTGAGTTACGAATCCGAAGTCTGTAAGTTATTATTCCAGTTCCATCACTGCTTGCAAACACTGCGGAATTAAATAAATTATAATAATTTTTTTTTAAATACACAAGATAAATTGAATTGTTTTGATTTTCACAGAACAATTAGTCATCAAAAATTGCATGGCTCTTTCAATTTTAAAATGGTCCATACGCTTTTTGAAGACTAATGAAAAATGGATTTGAATGGATTTTCTTGCAAAAAAGTATCTAATCAAAAATAACTAAAATAATTTTTCAAATTTTTTGAACAAAGCTACAATATGGAGGCCATTTTGAAATTTCACTTAATCTAACAAAATGACGTAACATCAAATGGTGACTCATATGTTAATATCTATACTTTTTTTTATTTCTGATCAAATTTTCTCAATTTTTGGTGTCATATTAGAAAGAAAAAAGAACTATGCAATTAAACTAATATATATATATATATATATATATATAACGNAATTTGAGAAAATGTAGCTGATTTCAGTTGCTTCATTATTTTAAAATTTTTTATTTTATGCAGTGTAATAAATAGATTGAGAGGTTGCTGTAGTAGGAAAATATGGTAGTTTAGTAAAGGGTAGTAGGGAAAATATGGTAGTTTGGGTAGTAGGGAAAATATGGTAGTGTGGGTAGTGGGGAAAATATGGTAGTTTGACATAAAGCAATAATTTTAAATTGCTTTGTTTCCAATTTTTGCGTTATAGTCTCTGAAGACTATCTTTACATCGTTGTACGTTGTTTTGTTCTTGTCTCAATTTAGTATTGCTCAGCTGTTTATGAAGTTAGTTTTATGAGGCGTTAAACAGGTTGAAATTTATTGAAGAGGTTATTTTTGGTGTAAAATATAAACTCAATTTTTGCTTCAGCTGTATTTTCTTACACACCTCAGGTTACTTCCATGTTCTCTTATGTGTATATATATATATATATATATATACACATAAGAGAACATGGAAGTAACCTGAGGTGTGTAAGAAAATACAGCTGAAGCAAAAATTGAGTTTATATTTTACACCAAAAATAACCTCTTCAATAAATTTCAACCTGTTTAACGCCTCATAAAACTAACTTCATAAACAGCTGAGCAATACTAAATTGAGACAAGAACAAAACAACGTACAACGATGTAAAGATAGTCTTCAGAGACTATAACGCAAAAATTGGAAACAAAGCAATTTAAAATTATTGCTTTATGTCAAACTACCATATTTTCCCCACTACCCACACTACCATATTTTCCCTACTACCCAAACTACCATATTTTCCCTACTACCCTTTACTAAACTACCATATTTTCCTACTACAGCAACCTCTCAATCTATTTATTACACTGCATAAAATAAAAAATTTTAAAATAATGAAGCAACTGAAATCAGCTACATTTTCTCAAATTAATCAAAAAGTGAAAAGAAAAGTTTAGTTAGTTTCACACAGCAAACGAATTTAATAAAATTTAGGTGTTACATAATTATAAGACTGACTTTTTTTTTTCAAAATCGTTTGAGTTTTCAATTTTAATTTTTCTTTGGAAATCCTATGTAAACTGTAACTTTTGCATCACAGGAAATGCATTCGGTAGTATTATAAAGAAAAAAGAGATTTTAATTCATTTGTTTTCATAAGAAAATTCACAATGCCAAGAGGAAAAGAATTATCTGAGTTAGAAGTTCGAAAAATTTCGTTTTTTAAAGAATCTGGAAAGCCGAAAAGTGAAATATGTAAGTTAATAAAAAGCTCTAAAACTGCTGAGAACTGGGATTGAGAGGTTTCTGTAGTTCGAGAGGACACAATAGACTGAAACGTTTGAAGTCAGATGATTGTGCTCTCAGTCTCAATAAATGGATCCTCAGCATAGCAGAATTTGTCCCTAGGGCTGTATTTCACAAATGGGATTTCAGTGCTGAAAAGCAGCAATTTTCAAACAGAAAGTTTAAAAGTAAGGGAACATTTCACATTTTATAAATATCTGATGTTTTTCTTATTTTAATGACTTTTAAGGATATATCAATGATAATCGAACCATTGCAACTTTATTTTAAATTAAAATCAGTGAAATTTATTATAATTTTAAATTAATATTATATAGCAACTTTAGTTTAAATTAATATCTTTATTATGTTATCCAAAATGTTATTCATATTATATCCGTTAACTTGTTTTAAAATTGTTCACATTGTTCCTGAAAAGAGTTATGTGTTAAAATTTCTATCCGGTCTGGCCAGTATCTTTGGAATTGATTGAAATTTCATGCTAAATTTTAGTTCTATAGAGAACTTTGAACAGAAATTTTATATTATATATATATATACTTTCATGAATATACATACACATATATATATAACCTACTAAGTGTTGAGAGTTGACTCTGGCAGGCAATGTCTAATGTCTATCTCTAATTTTTTATTTTATTAATTCATTTTTCTTGTTCTGACATCAAGTCAAGCGTGAACTTATAAAATGCAGATTTCGTGAGAGATAAATTTTTCGTCAACAATAACAAGAAAATATTGGGAGGCACGTGCACCCCACACTACTCCTATACTAAGGTAGATTTCTATCAACCTCAAAATAACCTCATGTGTGAATAAATTTCTTTCACGCACTTTTATTTTAAACCATCATTGATTTTTTAAGGTTGTTTTTGAAGTCGACTTCAAATGAACCCGAAATCAACTTTAACACCTCAAATAAACTTCAAAAACACCTTAAAGTTTGTAAGAGATGCAAAGAAAACCAAACAGATCGCGTTTTTATCGGGGTCATGCATCGTATACACTTCAAATCACATCACGTTGAATGGAAAAATAGAATTTTAAGTGAGAAGTCGGGAGCACGAATTAAATTGGGGGAAATTTAGGAGGTAATTAGAAATACAGTAAAGAAGACAATGGATATTATAAAGAAATTTAAAAATGTAAGTCTCCATGGAAGGGTAATATTACATCAGAACTAATTAAATGTCTTTTCTACGGCAGGCACTGAACATTCGATCTTCACCTATGAAGATGCCGGGATTGTTGCTCATTTAACGTTAACCGACGGCCACCTGTGAACTTAAGTCACGGAGACGAGCAACATTACCTACGCCACACTGCCACAGATTCCCGATTATAGGGTGGGCCACATTCACACATCACACAACAGGAATCAACACACGAGATAAAAAAAATCGATGCCCTAAGCGGGATCTAATTAAATATGAAAGGGATAATATCAAGGAAGAAATCTATTTTCAGTTTAAAGAGGTTTGGAATAGCGAAGGAATGACGACGAGTTGGCAAAGTTTCAACAGCAATCGTTTGTTTAATTCACAAAGGAGACGCAGCGAAATGTAACAATGTTCTGGAATTCCTCTTCTAAATGTTGTGTACACCGTAACAAAGCAAATTCTTCTCATTTTTAATGACGAAAGAGAAAATTACTTTGAGAAAATGTAGCCTATTGCCAGTCTTCAAGTTGTATCCATCGGTATCCAGCATTTTCTGCCAACGCATCTACTGTGCAACCTCTTTGTAGTAAAACTTGAGGGTTTTGGACGCAAAGAAATCCGTGAGTGGTTGGTACAAGTCAGCTTCATTATAGGAGGATTTTTCGTGAATATGATAGTCTAGGGCAGAGGTCGCCAAAGTGGTCTATATAGACCCCAGGGGTCTATTTAACAAAAGCGGGGGTCGATCTGAGACAGGGGGCGAATGGGGGTCGAAAAAAAAACAGTTCTCAATACGCAAATCACACATACCTAATTAAGTATGTAAAATTTGTGAATTTTTTTTATAATTGACTCAATATCAGTTTCTTTATAAAACATAAATTAATAAACGTATATTTATTGGGGTGAAACAAGTATTTACGTACCACCGCGCAGTGGCACGAACTCAGCGCAGTTTATAAGTCATATGCATATGTGCGCTTGTCCAAATGTCACGTGTGACGAGCATTGACGTTACAAATGCAAATATCATACGCAGTTTCAGCTATCTTTGCAAACTGTGTTGAATATTTGCAGTGTCATTATTAAAACTTTTATAGTTTTGGATAATTAGTTATTGTTTCGATAAAACCATTCGTTTGGTTTAGATATCAATTTTAATTATCAATGCACAAAAAAGAAGGTAAGCATTAATAATATGGATTAGTACAGCCCGCGACAAAACTATAGCACACTTTGTATTTTTTTACGAAAATTACAAAATTGACCAATTTTGACGAAAATTAAAATTGACCAATTTTGAACCCAATATAGCGAACCTTGCAAAAAAACACCAGGCCCACCCATCTTATTGATCAAGAAGCAATAAATCTTAAGTTACTTTACTTATCATATCTACTTATGCATAATTACTTATTATTTAATAATAAGGTATTTAAATTTCAATACTAATATATTTTTTATAAAACTATTGTTACACAATGTACTGTTACTTTATTAAATGTTTAAAATCATAAAATAAATGTACAAACACATAGAGGTTTATTTTAATTAATAGAAAATTACTTTTGTGGGGGTCGATGGAGATTTCGAAAAATTATATAGGGGTCGATGATCAAAAAAATTTGGCGACCTCTGGTCTAGGGAGAAGAAATGGTTATCTAACTGCATAAGATCAGGTTAGTAAGGAGAATGGTACAAAGTCTCTCAAGCCAGTCGCTGTATGGGATTCTTGGCCGTGCAGCAGGCTGCCGGAGGCGTCATGGCAAAAAGGGCCCATCTTTGCGACTCACCAATGTTGGCTTCATTTGGTTTCCACTCTATGTAAAACGATCATGAAGAATTATTAAGTTACACTGTCTAGGGGTTTGAGTATCGTTGTTGTCAGGCGGAGGAAGTTATTGTAGTTTAATTCTTTATAAAACACTCAAATATAATTTAGTTCTGTTTCAAAATTGCATAGTTTGTCACAAAATTTTATTTTTATCTGTTACCCCAATAAATGTATGCAGTGCACACATTTCATACAAATCTGTCCTTCGGGGGCGAACTTAACTAGTAAAATCAGTGTAAAAAAACAAAAGTTAATTTTCACAACAATCC